TTTTCAGGGATATATGATCTCCTCAGGTAATACATCTTTCACATATGTGCAATTTTTAGTTTTACAGGTTTTTGCGCACTAATCTTTGCATGACGATGAAAAACTTTTTCTACGAAAACTTTGAGATTTTGTTTTCTATTCTTCCACTATGCATATAATGCTGCCCTAAGTTTCCCAATAGATTTCTTGACCAATACTACATTGGACAATCATTGAGGGTACTTTACCTCTATTGTATATCCTGCTTTTAGTAGCTGGTCTACCTCATTACTTATGGCTTATTTCCAATCGAGAGAGAACTTTTGCAACTTTTGCTTCACGGATCGTGCTTCAAGAAGAATATTCAATTGATGTTGTGTGACCCTTGGGTCGATTCCTGACATGTCCTTTGGGGACCAAGCAAATACATCGGCATTTTTTACAACGAAATCAATAAGTTGAACCTAGTCCTTTTTCAAAAGAGCAGACCCAAATTTTATGACTATGTCCGATTGACTTTTATCAAGGGGGACCTCTAGCACTCGCTCCATTAGTTTAGGGTGAGGTGGTGCATTTGCCATATCTCGAGGGTCCATTATGCTAAAGGAAGGTTGTCCACCATAAATGTGATCATCATAGTCTTGGATCTTGGTTCCTCGCCGATGGTGATGGGCAAGGTTGTGGTCCCAACGGGAGAGATGGAATCCCTTGTGAACATAGTAAGAGCCAAGGTCATCGGGGTGAGGTCCTTCTCTACTAAACTGAGCTTTTGGAAAGCGTCAAAGTATAAGATATTAACGAAACTTCCTGTATCCACCATAATTCTCTTTACACGAGCTTTAGTGATTTCAAAAGTGACTTCCGAGTCATCCCTTTAATGTGCCGAGTTATCCAACACTCTAATGTGCCGAGCGTTTCCCACCACCCTTGGAGGACCGGGTCGGGTGTAGTACAATCGGCTACAGCTATTTTCAATCACATCTTTTGACCAACTCGCTAAGGAATTCGAGTTACACTTCTTGGTCAATGTACGACCCAAGCCATCTATAGTGACACTCCTCAAGCTAAGGTAGAAGGAGAATGAGTCTCTCTCTCTCTCTCTCTCTCTCTCTCTCTCTCTCTCTCTACGAAATGCTCGCTTAAAGCCCCTACTAGCTTTCTATTGGCTAGCCGGATTCTCCAAAAATTATAGTGCTTTCCCTTCTTTCAGGGAGGACTTACTTTTCTTATGTAATAGACAGTTGGCCCCGACAATACAAAGCCTCTCAAATCGCATGAGAACTACTTATATGCTCACTTATTAAGCAATTCCATGCATATTTAGACTTACCCACAAGATTCTTTTAGTCATTAGTCGAATGCCCCAGTGACAGTCTTTGAGATGTTCCAGAGGGCTCATTAGTTCATTACCACCGAAACATTGTTGGCAGTGAGGCGCGAGGAGACAAATAAAAGGCCCTGTACAGAATAGCCCTGAGATTCATCCCTAGGACTATCCAAGAAGAAATTCAACAGGCCGGAGCCTCCACTCCCAAGGCCGCCACCACCACCACCTCTCAATTCATCAAGAATATAAATCTTTCTCCAAATCAAGGAAAAGGGGCTCTTAAGGGAGCCCAGACCATTGAAGACCTCGTTTGAGTTCAAAGATAAAATAAGATATTGCAGGTACCATCGAGACTATGGCCATGACACCAAAGAATATCGAGATCTGAAATACTAAATCAAGGACCTTATCCATAGAGGACACCTCGAGCGATACCTTCAAAGGACTAAGAGCCCTCTCCTCACCCTCATGGCCCCATCGAGAAACAGATTGATGTGATTATTGGCAAACCAACATTTGGTGGTGACAACATAGTCGGAAGAAAAGCCTATGCATAAGCCATAGTGGAAAAACATCCAAGGTAATGACATATTCTGTCGGAAGGCAATGACATATTCTGTCGGATCAACACCACCATTATAGGCCTCCAGTGTCAAGAGGCAGAAGTGGAGCAAGATAGGTTTGTCTTGAATTTCTTGGGTGAAGGGGGACCCTCTTATCATACCGTCCCCATAATCCTAGTAGGTTTTATATACTTCCTTCTGGACCTCATCTAGGTGTCGGTTCATCCTCCACACTTGAGCCTACAATGAGTCCTCCACTAAGTCAAATGGCATTGTATCTGCTTTGGGAAAGGCAGGAATGGTATGTCGAGTGTCATGCCTTGATGTTGGTCTTAGGTTTCCTGGTTGTTCCTCGATTGGATGATCAATGTCAGGAGCCATAGGCGATGGGCCAACTGGAGAAGTGTCGTGCCTCGGGAGAGCAAAGGCTAGTTGAGATACAAGTGATGAGGATAAGGGAGGGGCAACTTCTTAAATGAGTTGTGGTATATAGGGTGAGATAATCTGCATAATCCCTACCAATGCCTACACCGATACGTGAGGGTAAGGAATGTCTCTGCGAGAACCACCATTTATCTTATGTCAATCCCAAGAGGTAAGAGCCCAGGGTCATTGAATGAACACCAATAGCCCGTAGAGATCTGGGTGGTGGTGTTCCCATTGATCTGCAGAGGAGCAAATGATTGGCCTTTGAGGCAAAAAGGTAGAATGGGTAGCAGGCACCTCCAAAGGGTGCTCATTGAGGTTGTTTACTAGTGGACGTTCTTGCGATATCGAGCCCTTCTTCTAGCACCAAAAATATTATAGTTTTTTATGTCATGGCTTGGGAAGGGGCACAGCTTGGTTCGATCCTGATAGTGTAAGGTCATCCGTGTGATTACTTAGAAGAAAGGCTTCACGGAGAAGGGATGAAGAATTATGGTCACCCATCTTCTAGGGTGTTTTATGGTGGATTTGCAAGGGGCTTCTGTTCCTGAGTGCTTACACAACAGGTCAATGTCGAAGATGGGAGTTCTAACTTGATCCATCTGAAGCTTAATTCAGTCTTTGTGGATAGTGAATCCCATCCCCTAGCATCTACCTAGGGGTGATTTTTATACCTTTTGTAGGGAGTTGGCTCCTCCTATGCTTGTTGGTATTTATTGATATTTCTAGTGGGTGGTTTGTCTATTCTGGAGCCATCCTCTCGACCCTATGGTTTATGTCATTTTATACTGCTTTGAGATATATGTGCTGCTTTGGCTAGTATAGCCCTTGACTCATGTTATGAGGGAGCACTTGGCTCGCTATGGTGAAGCCCTCTGCCTGCCATGATCGAGCCATTGGCAGCAACCCTCTACCTTGTCATGCCACGATTTTGGGGTATAGGCTAGTCGCCAGGAGCAATAACTCCATGGCATCAAGGCTTGTATGCTCCTTTCTCGATTGGCTGATGTAGTCGATTGCCTTCCGCATGTCCCAAGCGATTGCTAGCATTGACAAGTAATGCCCCCGTAGTTGTTCTTCACTAATGACACGTCACAGGAGATCGTACCATCTTGCCATTCGAGTAAATGAGCCCTAGGAGGGTGTATGGGCCCGTCCTTATCAGACATCAGTCTCTCTCCATCGGTTGCCCAAATATGAATGTCAATCCCTAAGGACAAAAGAGGGGACTAGACACAAGATTTATATTATTCATACTCCCACTCATATTGACTTTACCATCATAGGGGTCAAGTCAGGTACTCCCCTAAAACCTGATTGCTTATGAAGAATTTCCAACGGAGATAAGGCATACCTCGACTCATCTCCAAAACTTCGAGGAGGTCCGGACTACCTGGTCTCAACTTGGGATCCACCTTGGACATACAAGTAGTACCTCGGGATCGCTTCAACCTGATCTTCCCTAGCTTGGGTCCCCCCACACAATCGTCACGTGGGCCATTCGGATAAACTTGCATCTTTGGGACAAAATCAAGTCGTGCCGTTTCTCGATCAACGATATCAAGGCAACAACACCCATTTATCCCAATTATTTAGAAGTGAGTTAAGAACTTTATGCACTAATTCAATATTAGATAAACTTTCACAACTAATTCTAATATATTATTAACATTCATAAGCTTTTGTGAATGGACTCGTTTGATTTCATTTTAAACTCATTTCTTTCTAAAAAATAAAATAAAACATTCATAATTTTTTAAAAATTATTTCATGCATATATGTGTTTAATTAGTTTTTGAAATTCGTCTCATTAAACATGAGTGAACATATATTACATGACATACTATTAATTATTTTTAGATATTCAGTTAATTGAGAGAATCTTGATTTAGTACAAGTATATTGAAAAATATTTTTCTAAACTTTGTAAGAACGTGAGAGTAATAATAAAATAAGGTTAAGTAAATATATAAATAAGCAAAAAACATAAGAGAAGAGAGGTACAATCCATAATAGCACTTTGAACTTACATTTACTCATAAAATCTCTTTCTTCAAGTCTATCCACTTTCATGATTATACTTTTTATATATACGAGACTGAGGAATAGATCTTATAGTTGAGATGCTCCTCGGTTCATAAAAAAATTGATAGGATCTTACAGACATAAAAAATTGAATTAGTGTTATGGTGCAAATTTGACCATCCTTAAAAAATTTAACAAAGGAAGCAAGTATTCAAAGTAATTAGGAGCAAGTAAGCAAGAAATAGAAAGGAACACATAGTACAATTTTCCATGTTGAGTATGGTATTTTAATGAATAAAATCAATTGATGAAATTTAAAAATTAATATCTGATTAAATGTGTTTAATAAGTCTGAGAATAAGATATCAAGCTAAAGAATTAAACATCAATCCGATATTGATGAACATATTGAAAAAATTAGTCGATAATATAACTAATTGAATGGTAAGAGCTATCGCAACAGATTTATCAAAAAAATTTGTTGATCCTCAAAACACCAACGCAACGAAATATTTAATTGAGAGAGTGTATCAATAATGAAATTAAGGAAGAAATCTTTCATAGTAACATCGCGTCTCTCAATCTCCGTCTTTCGCTTTATTATTTTCATCATCATCTCCACACTTCTCTTACATCTTATATCTCAATATTGGGTGTACGCACACGAGATAGGAATTACATCAATTTTTAAACCCACCAAGATAGGGTATGCCCGAATACTTGATCCACCGGTGACCTTGGATTAGGGAATTCACTGTGTACGCTTGGGCCGTCTGCCTGTTGATGACATGAAACCCAGGCCAATTCACCCTGCCGCTGGTCCCGGCACCGGGCCCACGGTTGCCATACTCGGCATAATATAGTGTGTTCAAAAACTGGTCGCCATCCCATGGCAACCATCCCTCCGGTTTGATCAAGTCGCCGATGGTGGATTCCATGATGATGGTCCTCGAGCGTGCCTTCCAAGGCCGACCAAGGTAGCTGGGGATCTTCAACCTGTCCGGGAACAAGCGCTTGTCGGGGACGATTCGGCAGTTTTGGATCACAAGTGCGGTCTCTTCCTTCTCCTCCTCTCGTCCGTGTGCTGTCACCGTGTTCTGTTGATTGTCCATGGGGCGCCGCACCACGATGAGGCAGTTTTGAAGAATGGTGGAGGAGTCACCGAAGATGAAGTCAACAGTCCCCGATACCACACAGTTGCGGTAGAACTGCCGATGGGCCTGCACGTAGAGAGTGTCCTGGAACGCATCCATACGACAGTTGAAGAAGGCTGACATGTCCCCTTTCACACGAAGCGCCACGGCTTGGTGCTTCTCTGGTCCAGCGGTGTTGCTGAACCCCATTGACTTTCCAATAAAGCCCTGCCCTTCGGCAGCTGGAAAATGCCAATTGCATAAAACTTTAGATCAGACATGCATATGTTTTGCTTCACTCTCAATATTTCATTGTCTCTACTATCAAGATTTAGTTTGGTGTAGTAAGTGTTATATAGATTGATTGCAGTAATATGTTTGCTATATCTAACTTAGGTCACAACTGATATGTCAGATGGTAAGTGAGTAGATGTGAAACGTAGCATAATATAGGATTTATGAAAGCAAAGAAGGTCAGACCGAAGGTCGCAGTATTCATGGTTTGAACGCCATCGACGTTGTTCTTGCTGCCAGTCACGACTGTCTTCCTTGGTCCATCACCATACATGAACACGTTCACCTTGTCCTTGGTGACGAGGACATTCTCCTTGTAGATCCCGGCCTTGACGTAGATCACATAGCGGCCTGTATACTTCTTGGGCATGGCATTGAGGGCAGCGTTGATAGTCTTATAGTCTCCACTCCCATCCTGAGCCACCACCATGTTAGGCTTCAACTCACCTCTCGCACTGGCAGCCAAGAGCTTCCTGTCATGGGCCGAGAACCACGTGGGATAACCCTTGGCATCGCTCCCCTGAGACAGTAGCCGGCGGCTGGCGATATTGGTCACGTTGATGGGAACTTGGAAGTTCTTGAATAATGAACTGAGCCCATCGACGATGGCAATGGCATTGCTGGTGACCTGAGAGGCCGTGACAAGCCCGTCCTTCATGGTCGAGTGTAGGTCGGGTTGAGTGATGCTATCGAGGCAGGTCTGCTGGTAGGAGATGACGGCTGAAAGCCAGCACTTGATGTCATCGGTCCTTCTCGCCAAACCGTCAAGGTCATGAGTCTCCGAGAAGGCAGCTTGTAGCTCCTCATTAGCATCCTCGAAGAGTCGACGACAAATGTCGAACCCATCCTTGTTCATCGAGTCAGTGGCGCTCAAACTCACGTTCTTGGACAGGTGGGAGGCAGCTTCGATTTCTTTGATGGCTGCCATGAAGGATGCTTGGATGATCTCCTTGGGAGAGGCAGAGCCATTGATGGCAGAACTGAGGGTCCGTTCGCACACGTCAGTGTAGTCAGTGGAGGCGCAGATGGCCGTCACGGACTTGGAGGAGGCGGCAAGGGAATCATCACTCGCCGCCTTATGGTTGGAGCTTGCGACGGTGGCTACCGTACCTATCACCGCGGCCACAAGGAGGACCGCTGAGAGAGCACCCAAGACGGCCTTATTCGACATCTCTTACGATCCTCGTTTGTTTTGCTAATCTTAGACAAGAGTGTGCATGAACTTTGGCTTGTGGACGTAGTGAAAGGAGGAAACCTATGAAGATTCTTTGGGGCCGGAGCTCCCCAAAGTAGCTGGCGATCTGCCGTTGAGAGGACGGAGAGGGCGTGTGTACTTATATAAGGGGAGAATTAATGGATAAAGAAAGTTTCTTGACGTCGTCCTAACCTACACGATGTGGACAAAAGAGCTTTTCTTGGCAATTGTTACAATAATGTTGACTTTATTTAGCTATTTTAACTACCGGTTCTTAGCAAAATACATGCAGCTAGCCAGCCATAAAATTCGTGGTCTCGCCTGCACTAAGGGGGTTAGATTGTAAACCGTTCTCGTTCAATGCTATATTAAGGTTCTTCTCCTCCTGGTTGCAACGGAACGAGTGAATGATGTGCGTATGGTCTATGAGAAAGAAAGAAATATTTGTCTTTTTTGGTTATATATATATATATATATATATATATATATATATATATATATATATATATATATATATCAATTAATCGATTAAACGAATCAGATTCTAATTTAAACTTATTTTAATTAAATTAAATCAAATCGAAAACTGATTCGATTCGATTTAATCGTAACAATGAACCGATTTGAAGACACCTACGACCACACATCCAGCACAATACACCTGTCAAAGCTGACAGGATAGTACGTAGTCGCTGCATGCAGCGACACAGACTCGTGCAGTAAGCAACCTAATCCTACAAAAGCAATAGAAGCATCGTGGACGGTAGGATGATACAGTGGGTCCATATCACGAGAGCCGTCTGATCCGAAACGGGCTAAATGATAAGCAGCTTAGTACTCCATGGCCCTCTTTTTTGTGCTAGGGTTCTAGTAGTACGACGCCACGAATACCTCGCTAATGGCGGCCATCTCTAACTCGTCCGGCCGTGCCGAGGACCGTGAGATGAACACTTTATTCTGACACAATTGACCACCATCGTCTGTATCTTCGAAAAGAATCGAATCAGCCGAGGAGATGGTGATCAAAATGGCCTCTCGCGCTTACGTTAACTTTTGATTTTTGTTTCCGTTCCTGTCGTCGCATCTTAATGTCACACTGTTGTTTCATGCATTCTATGTGTATGTGTGCAGGGTCAAAAATTAAACTGATTTTATATTTAAAGTAAGAATAACAATAAAAGAAACGAGAAATGGCACGTAAAAAAGCATTTCGGAATGGAGGCTAATGTCAATTATGGCGACGAGATCCGGATGACGTCAGGAGGGGAAGGGAGAGGGACACGAACGGAGGCGAAGATACTGGGAGAGAGTCGTGTCGGCACGTGCCAGATGAAGTAGGCGGGAGGAGAGAAGGTTGAGCTTTGTCAGGCACAGCGTGCGTACATGCATCATATATGATTCTGTTGCGCCGCCGGTGATCCAACTGCAATCCATCTTGTCTTAAAACCTCTGCGATGAATTGGATCTCCGACAGATCTTCCTGTCTGAGAGGAGAGCGAAGGCCGAGCTTAGTTTATAAAAACCTCAGGTTGAGGTGCTCTACTTTCCATGCTATAAATACAGCAGCCGCGGACCAAAGAGAAACTGCATCAGCCACCAGTTAAGACTGTCACGAAGGAGATAATGGGTCTGTTTGGTCTATTATTTTGGTGCTTTCTGTTGATCTTGGCCGTCTTTGTGGCGGATGGGCGTTTAGGTTCGTCCCTTTAACCCTTTCTAGTATATACGTGCTTTGACTCAATGTTCATTCATTATGCAGGTTGCCAAATCGAGCTTGGCAGCTGTTGGAATCCGGAGACTGCTCCACCTGAGAATGGAAGAAAGGTTGATCTCTTGAAACAATTCGTTAAGTCTGCTAAAAATTTTGCTTCGTTAGGAGTAGGTTTTCCTATTAATTATATCTCACGTCTTGTTTCTTCCGCTTTTGCCATGTACACAGGTGCACGGGGCGTGGAAGGAGGAACTCAAGCAGGGATACAGGCGGCCGCCGGAGATAGGGTTGGCTGCGGAACTACTGGAGCCGGAGTTGATGAGGGTCCCTTCGGGACCGGACCCGTTACACCATAACGGAAGCCCCAAGAAACCTCAGACGCCGTGATGGATGTAGGAAAGAAAGGGTCTGCGTTAGTATCACAAATGAGAGATCCATGCATGCATGTTGGTGGATGTATTTGCTCTTCTATTTTGTTTTTGGTTGGTTGAAACAGTATTGGCAAACATGTTTTGACTTATCTCTGGTGCTTGGTTAGGAAACATGTATATTGTATCTATAAATGGTTGAAGCTTTTGTACCCTCATGAATCTGTAGCCTTTACAAAGGTAAGGAGAGGAAGAGTCTTCCCAAGAAAAAGGATTAATATGGTGAAAAGGGGAAAACAAATTGAAAAATACTATTATAAGGACAAGTTGACAGTCCAATGTTGGGTGGGTTTAATGCTACTAACCCAAATTTGATTTAACTATAAAAATTCTCATGGGGCTAGTCAAACTATGGTTGTGGATTCATCAGCAGGTCTCTAAATAGTTATAGAACCCTAATCTATATTATTGATTATAACTAAACTATCCCAACATCCACTGATACTATGTTTATATGTATAATAACAAGGATAAATACTTAAAGCGAAAAAATATATTTAGATTTTTTTTAAACTTTATCAGTGTGTGATACTTGAATGTTAAAGAACTGCTAGAAAATATATTTTTTCACAAATGAGCTGAAATATATTCACAAATGTTTAAAATTTAATATCTATTTTTTCCGTTCATCATTATCTACGGTTCGCTTACTTGCTGGAAAAATGAGCTGAAATTATAGTCTGTCGTTAAGAGTAATCTCCTCATTAAAATTAGATGATGAATATGTGAGAATGGATATTTATTTCTTCACAACTTCGTTAGCCTATACAGTTGTTAGCGTATACCACTAACTAAAATGCTTCAGTTGAAATTAATAATAATACAAATCAGATCCTTATAAGTTAATTTTAATCTTATCAACTTTCGATGAAACTAATTAAGAATACTACAGAAAACATATATTTGGCTGATCTATAAATTTGTGCTTCTGATTAACTGAAATCTTCATATATCCAGTCACAGATGGATAAGATGTGTGCTCAATTCTCTTTAGATGCAGTATGCACCTTAACGCATTAAAATTCTCATTTCATATATACTGCAGAACCCATCCAACTGTTGAGCATCTTAAGGGACTTTTTCCTGATAAAACACCCATATCCAATAATCCTACTGTACACCAAGTAATAAAATTCCATTTCAAATATTTTCTCCATCGAGAGACAAAAAAGGAGCCCTTTGAATACTCAAAATATTATACACCCTCGAGGAAAACAACCCATAAAAAGGATCGGAGAGACATGAAACCATACACACAAAATTTTCCCATTATTAATTACTCCATGTAAACATTATTAAATTTTAATACCTGTCACTAACAGAAAATTTAACTGACAATCGGCAATTGAGTGGTGAAGCAACATACTTCACCATCAAAAGTACAGTACACCGACACCAACTCCTTTCATTATTAGATGCAAGCAATTCTTGCATAGTCTTTTTTTACTTTTGCTTTCATGGTTGTAAGTTAAAATAAACAAAAGTCCACCAAGATTGTCTTCGAATAACCAAGCTTACAAAATAAAAACTCATATTATAGTTACACGTTTTAATTCAGTGCTAAAAAGCACAAAGATACAGAGTAATGCAGATTAATTTGAAGAATTCACATTTAAAAACCTATGGCAAAGTCATGATACATCCCTTCATCATGATAGAAAATTAGGACTGCCAACGAAGCATAGATGAAATGGATCCACGAATGAGTAAATATTTATTGCCCGACATCTGCTTTGCATCTATCTGGTTCTTCTTTTGTGCGTACTCCATGATCTAGAAGCTAGGATTTCAGAACTTGGGTTTCAGGAAGTGTATATATAGAACAACCAGAAAGTAAAAAACTATCAGCTAGTCTACACACTAGATTTATAGCAACAAATAAGCAATTTCCAGATTACACTGTTTGACCAAAATGCCATGATTATGATAATATGGATTCATAATAGTTTCAATTCAATGTGCACTTAATCAGTTCATGTCATGATACTTGGCATATACTGTATTCGATGAAGCAATGAAGTTCAGTTTGTTTGTTTGTTTTACAGTTCAGTTTGTGCATCAACCTTCAAATAAAAGGAAGCCGACAAGCCTAACAATGAGAACTAACCTCATCAACCAAGGGCATCTCCCTAAGTAACTTCTGTATCTTGTGACTCCAGATGTTTATATCCTTCTTTTTTGTGTCCTTGTTTGCAGCTTTACATACACCTGCAATCTCATCATTGAAATTACAAAAGCCATCCATCAGCTTACATCAACATGAATGATAGGAGGCAAAATAAACAATATTTGATGCCATAAAAAATTATATAAATCATTTAGAACAAAAATTTTACCTCAATTTTACTAGGTCAAAACCACAAATCAGGCAGCTGGAACACAATGAGAGAAAAACTTTTAACAATAGAATAACTTTAGCCCAACAGTACTGTTTTGGTTTAATTATCCAATGACAGCCGTTAAAATAGATGTGGTGATTAAATAATTGCTGTATATGGAGACAAATGAAAGACCAAAGCTTGATGTACTATTGTGTTACAAAGAATAGTATGAATTTACAAATTTATCATGTCACCTTACCTGCTGCAACTTTGTGATATCATCCCTTGAGAGGATAAAAAAATGATTATTCATCTCATACAAATTTAAAAGAAAAAACTGCATATTTTAGACTCAAGTCCACCAACACTGCAAATTGTCTGGTTGTTTACTGGGTGTGGCCTCCTTTATGTGAATGAACCATCAGTCATACAGATTAGCATCATGCTTTAATGGAATACATCATCATGACTGACTTAACACAGCAAAGGACTGGAGTTTGCCAGTGCTAGATTATTTGCTGTCTTTGGAAGTCACTCTGGACACTTGGACAGCTACATGCCTGTGGACGTATCATCAGACATGCTGAATATCTGCTATCACTGCTGCCAGAGGAAAAAAAATACAATTGTGATACAAATGTCAACACACAAATTCTTATTTGTCTGCCCCTGACCATGTATAACTATGGCATTTGAATCATCAATTAACTGCAAAGAACATCAGTTTCTAAAAATTTCACTGCATGATGCTTGAAGTCTTCACCAAAACCTTTAAACAAAACATTCTGAGTGCAAAAATCAGGAATAATTTCTTTCTCATGCATTTCAGCATACAACCTCAGTGCTTCTTTCCAGTTACCCAAATTGCAATTTTCATTTATGAGTAAAGTATATGTATACTTATTTGGGGACAAACCATTTCCTTGCATCTTGTCAAAGAGCTCATAAGCCAATTCAACCTTGTGCTTTCTACAGAGCCCATTTATGAGGGCATTATAAGTTATTTCGTTAGGCAAGACATTCTCCTCCAGCATCTTGGAGAAGTAGCCATATGCAGCCTCCAAATTTCCTTTATTTGCATGTGCATGAATGAGAACAGTGTAGGTGACGACTGTCGGCGATAAATTATTACTAAGCATGCTATCAAACAGATATTTTGCTTCTCTCATATGACCCTTCTCGCAATGTGCATTAATTAAGCAAGTATAGGTTACACAATTTGGATGAAATCCATCATGTACCATCTTTTGCCACAAACCATATGCCTCTTTCAGATTTCCCATCTTGCATAGCCCATCTATCAGAACATTGTAGGTAACTATATTAGGAGTGATGCCTTTTGCTTTCATCTCTTCCCGCAATTGAAAAGCCTTAGAAGTATCCCCTAACTTCAATTCTCCAACTATTCTTGTTGTGTACACATGGCAATCTGGCTCGAGACCTTTTTGTAACATCTCATCAAAAAATCCTTTTGCCATGGCAAGATTTCCCATCTTGCAAGACCCATTTACCAGAATGGTATACGTATAAACATCGGGCAGAAACCCCGAACAAATCATCTCCTCCTTAAACTTCTGAGCCCCATCCAGGGCTCCCAATCTACAATGACCATCTATAAGAATGTTGTAAGTTCTAATATTAGGAGCTATATGTGCATCTCTCAGATGATTAAACAAGCATAGAGCCTCTTTTACATTCCCTAATCTGCAATACCCATAAATTAAAGAGTTGTAAGATACTACATCTTGTGCCAGATTCATCTTACCCATTTCGACAAACTTCTCCTGGGCCTCTTCCATCCGTCCACTCCTACACAACCCATAGATTAAAGCATTGTAAGTCACCACTGTTGGCATCACTCCGAACCCCACCATCTCATCCCTGAAACCCAGTGCCTCGTCGACAAAACCTTTGCTGAATAACCCACTAATCAAAGGATTGTAAGTAAAAGATGAGGCCTTTCGGGAGCACCTCATTTTGTCAAGCAACTTCTCTGCCTTGTCCAATTCCCCCTTCTTTGACAGGCCGTTGATGATGACATTATAGGTAATATCATTGGGTAAGCACCCAGCGTCCTGATCTTCCATCTCGCCCAAAATCTTGAGAGCCTCTTCCGCCTTTCCTTCCTTGCAAAAGGAATCGAGCATCGTATTGAAAGTTACAATGGTAGGCTGGACGCCGACTTTAATCATATGTTTGTAGATGGCGCGCACCTCCGTCCACTGGGCCGTGTCCCTCAAGATCCTCAGAATCCTGTTGCAGTTCTTGACGTCCGGCAGGAACCCGTGGGCTACCATCTTATAGAAGGTGGACACGGCGAGCTCCACCATCGAACACTTGGTGTACAGCCAGAGAAGCAGATCCAGGAGGGGGGCCGTGGCCTCGGGACCAGCGTGTCCGTCGATAAGGAGGTCAACGATGCCGTGGAGACGGAGGTGAAGCACACGCTGGGCGACGGAGTAGGCGGCACGCATGAGGCCGCCCTCAGCGAGTATCTGGAGGACGGCGCAGAAGGCGGCCTCCGAGCAGGGGAAGCCGGGCTGGCTCTCGGCCCAGCGGAAGAAGCGGAGGGCGAGGCGAGGGCGGCGTCGGACTGAGCGCAGGGCAGCGAGGAATAGGTGAGGCTCGGAGAGGAGAGGCTTGATGGAGTCCGGAGCACGAAAGCCACGGGTGAAGGCGGCGGGATCAGAGTCGAGGATACCGGAGACGAGGGCGTCGAAAGGGGGAATATCAACGGGGGAAGACGAGGAGGAGGAGTAGTAGGCTTTGATGGAAGGGAGGAGATGATGGAAGGGGCGTACCTCAGCGGCGGTGGCGGCTAGGGTTGTCGTCGAGATGAGTAGTTTAAATTTAGGGAAGAGCATGAGGGATGGAGAACATAGATTTAGAGCTTCCTTCGCCTCCATGCCATTGGAAGAAGCTGGAGATGAAGCTAACTACTATGCATCTGCGGGCGGCCTCCCTTGGGAGAGGGAGATACGAATGAAAATGTGGAGTCGCGTAGCCGAAGGCGTAATACTTCCTTGGGCGACGGCTGAAAGGCTTTATTTACGGATGAAACATTATATAAGTTGGGCAACACCGGATTAGTTAATTGTTGGCCACCCCATTTAAATTATTAATTGGATTGATTGATAGATACATATTTTGAATCGGAGAGCAGAGTGGGTTAAGGGCACATCAGCCATCAAAAGTCACCTTTGATTATAAACTATGAGTAGTTAAAGAGATCATCCGAAAATAACCTATCAAATTGGCACTCCAGTAAAGTTAATCCAAATACGAAGGATCAGACTAGTAATTCAACATATAATAAAGTTATTAGAAAAGAAAATATTTTTATTCCTCAACAACTTCCTATTACTTTGATAATAGAAGATAAAATTATTTAAGATACTATAATAATATACTAAAGAGAAAAGACGTTCTTCAGATACGATAATCAAAAGAAATAAAATAATTAATATTAGTGGTATCTCAACAGTGGGTTTATGTGGAGTCAGTATGGGATTTAAGGCTTTGGAGAAGCCAGCAGAGGTGAATTCCTTCACATCTGCAGCTACGTACTAAAAAGAATGAGACTGATACGTTGTGCTCAGATCAAGAACCCTACACCTTCTGCAGTAATATGTTCAAGTTGCCTGTGGGGTAGATTTGGTGGGGAACATGATGGGCCGTGCGCCGGTCTGATGTCGCTGCCATGTTGCTCGATATTAATGAGAAAGCGAGGCATTTGCTCTGCTTCGTGGACAATATTATACCCGAGCATTCATCCAGGCAAGTTTTTGGCATGGAAGCTAGGAAGATTGAACCTTCAATAAGAGGCATGTGAGCTGGATATATCCTATCTTCAATTTGCCTTGAATAAGATTGGAACCTTGATCGAGACTTTGTTCATATACGTGCAATATATCATCAATCATCTGCACGGAATCATTCTTCATTTTACGATAGATAGATAGATAGATAGATCATAAAACAGAGGATTCTGCCTGCATATTATTGAGCTAACGAACTTACAAACATTGAAGACTGAAAGTATGTGTTTGGATAATTCAAACCGCCGGGAAGTCCCTCGCAAGCGATCAACTGCTTTAACCAAATGGTGCCCACTTGTTCCAAGTTTACCGCTAGATTCTTATCCACAGGGGACGATGACGAGGAAGAAGGATAGATTATGAGAGGCAGCAAAGGTTAACACTTCATCTAATTCTTTGAACTAAATTCTTTTTCCAACTGCATCATATTATTTCCCCGATTGCGTGCCGGTGGGAATCCGATGTGTGCATGAAATCTGCCACTTTGAAAGCAAGGGGCAAAGTTTTACTCGGTTAAGTTTAGGCCTTTGTTCCATGAAATCTGCCAGCACTGGGAAATATTCCACCCAGAGAGCACCAAGTACCGTTGCCATTGCCCTCAGAATTCGCGAGTTCTTTTTATTTGATGACAGGGAAAGGCCACAATCGCTGAGCAACAAAGCATTGGATATGTATCCCCCCCAGAGGTTACAGAATTCTTGAGTTAGAGAGTAAAGAAACTTGAGAGACCTCTAAAGAAGATGATACACCAATGTAGTTCTTGATAGAGCAAGGAACTGCAGACTGGCAGACAATAGACACAGTACTTGGACGAACTCAAACAATATAATTCCGTGTTGCCTCAACTTCGACTATGCCTTCTTCGATGGATTATTGAGCAGTAAAGGTTTATACTTTACTGTGAGCAACGTAGATCAATACAACAGTACAATCATACATCAAGGAGATACTGGTAATCGACTGAGCCTTGTCATCAAACGTCATACCATTAGGAGGAGAACTTCCACCATTGCCACCGCCACTCAGGCTGTTCTTTGCTCCCACAGTCATCCACGATGCTGATATGGCTGCAGGGCCGATGGTGTCCCCGAGCCGTACATCTGCTGGCCCCTTATCATCATTCCGCTGCCGTATATGCTGCCACCGCCCCCATTGCCGCCGCTTCCTCCGCCGCTGCCGTCCTTGTGCTGCGACTGAGATGAAGTGGCGCCCCCAGCCTTCTCGCCTTCCATCTCGCGGAACCTCTGCAGGTAGACCTTGAGGGGCTCGACGTAGTCCTCGAAGCCGAGGGTGGTCATGGCCCAGAGAAGGTCGTCGCCGTTGATGGTCTTGCGCTTCTCTCGCTGGCACTTGTCGGAGGCCTCGCCGGTGACGAAGCTGATGAACTCGGACACGCACTCCTGCACCGTCTCCTTGGCGTCCTTGGAGATCTTGGCGTTCGCCGGGAGCGCCTTCTTCATGATTCGGCTCACGTTGGCGATCGGCAGCAAGCGTTCCTGCTCCCGGGCTGCCGCCGACGACCCTGCTTTGCTGTTGCTCTGTCCGCCCGATTCGTTGTCTGAGTCCGCCATGCAACGATCAGAAATGTCCTCTTCCCTTCAGTTTAAACCAATCTCGGTGATGAAAGCACAGCGGAGGATAAGATCAAAGAAGTGCCGGATTCGTGGAGACTGCACAACAGAGTATAGTAAGCTAAAAACAGTGCTTCTTTCTTGTGTATTACAGATTATCGCGAAGTTTCTTAAGATGAGAGACTTCCGCAAGCAAAAACAAGTCTTAACGGAATCGAGAACCGGAGAAGAAGGTCTTCTTCCTTGAATCCAAAATTTGGGGAGAAAAGGCGATCCCTCCAAGCCCTCCTCCAACTCTATCGATCGAGTCGTCTTCCCTTGCGATGGATTCTTCCCTCCCACACCGCGCCGGTGTGTCTATGGGAGACAGGAGAACATGGAAGAAGGCGAGAGAGCAGAGAGCAGGGAGCGTTGACGGTTTGCGTCCCTTGGATCATTGGTCTAAATATCCATTGAGAGAGACAAACGTGGAGCGACGAAGGCCGTTCATTTCACGATAAGAGAATCAAGTGTAGGATCTCTCAAACCGTTGATGGCCTTCAGAAAGCTGATCTTAACCGTTGATGCGATGGGGCCCGTCAATGGTCGGTGAGAGCATAAGTACATTTGGGTCGGAAGATAAAAAGATACAATCATACAGCCGCGGGCGACGTTACGGAACTCACAGCATCACAGTAGCAATTCAAGAGATAGAGGAACTAAATGAAATGGTTGCCAGTCGAGAGTGGGTAACCATCCCCATGTCATAGTCCACGACAGTGCGGCTTGGCCTTCCGCCAGTTGGTGTGACAGAGATACGGCAAACACTTCATTTTACAATGTAGGATTCTATAATATGACCTTTTACTAAAGAAAATTTAGAAGGAATGCTAATGTAAGAATGTTGGTACATGATAAGATTTATGTTTTGTTGTTAGACTATCAAGTAAATTAATATAAAAATGATTATAGAATGTTAAATTTTGGCTGCCCCTTCTCAGAGACACACAAATTTCTTAAAATTATGTGTTAATTTTAAATTTTGTAGGGATGATGATTGATGTGTTGGTTTAGATGTTATAGAATCAATCTCAAGCTAAGCTTTTTACAGTTTTGATGAAGGAATAGTTTCATGCAAAAATATGTCATATAGTTTCGTGAGCATCGTAGTAATGAAACAATAATTTGAAACGTAATAAGTGACATATGAAAAACCCAATGATGATGCATGTCAAATAATTATTAGTGGCTATTTGAGCTCGTTACAAATTGGTTGTTTAGCTTACGACGTATCTAAAATATCGATCTATGTTTTCTGTATTTCAAATTTATTAATATTATTAAATTAAGTATCAAACATACTCTCATCAAGTATGTCTCCGATATAATTTTAACAAGTATCGATCCTATAATAAAATTAGGATAGACTTAAATGTTGGACCCGAGTTGGATCCAAACCTCTACGACAACTAAAATCTAAAATAACAATTATATCTATTGTGTGTAGTTATCAATTTTTTTTATTTTTTGAAAATTATAAGTCAGAGACTTAGTTTGGCTCCATAACAAAACAAGTTCCTCCGTTGAAATCAACCTACCACTCTGTTCATGGAAAAAAGTAAAGCTTAATCTTTTGGCATTTTGAGAGAGAATTACACGATTGGGATCGGAGATGACAAAAGAGCAAACTATGTACACATTCGACCCACCAGAGAGAGAACTGTGTGATCCAAATGCCAAGATAAAACCAAACACAAAAGACCAAAACAGGGAGAAAAAGGAGCGTTTTTTGGTGCGGCCCACGATGCGCAGCGCTTCTCGTGGTAGAACAAGATCCGCTTTCTGAAACAGCTCTTAGTTCGCAAGAACAGCTCGAAGAGGCTTTGCAATCCGGCCGTCGAGAACTGTGTTCGAAGGAAGCTCGAGAATGAATGCGCCAGAGGAGGAGACGGGGACGGGCGGAGGGCGGTATCCTACCCCGACCTTCGAGAAACCAAGGTTAAAAGAATCTATCATTTCATGTTCAAGGAAATTCGTTGGTTTAATATTGATCAGATACAACTTTCTCTAGTTGGGTTAATTATATATTGTCTCTGTAGTTAGTTGTCTTTGCCGTCTTATCGTTACAGTTTAAAAAAATTATATTGATATCTTTATAATTATAAAAGTGAAATATCTAGATTCATTTATTGATATCAATTTTATTGACAACAACATAAAATAAAAGATAAAAAAATAATTTTAACGTTCCGCAGCTTATGTGCTCCAAATCCCTGGTGCCGACCATCTCCATTCATTGTTGCAATTAGTGGAGTTCGCATCGATGCCCGTCAACTGGCCCCTAAATCTCCTGCCACGACCATCGACTCCTGGGCATGCCATCGCGCTCGGCCTCATAGTCAATGGTGAGGGCCTCATCATTGTGAAAACCTCTGGCCATAGTGGAGGCTAACTCATCGAAATTGGTTGCATTCGTGGGTGTTGAGGGTCGACGGGTAACGAGCGTTGGAGCGGACTCCATCAACTGTGACAACGTTTGTAGTAATAGATGGAGCGCAACCAACATTGGGGATTTGGAGCGCAACCAACATTGGGGATTTGGAGCACATGAGTTGGGGGCAGTGCTGCCATCCACCACCACCGAACATTATGGCGAAGATAGTGGCTGCCTCACCGCTGACTCGTTGAGAGAATCCCAACCTTAACCCCTTCCCCTTTGTGTCTGTATCGATGTCCACGTAGCTATTGAGCGGCAATGAGGTTGGTGGCACGCTTCTTGTAGAGGCGAGTGGTGTCATTAACCCATTGGGCAGATCCCAGCCTCAACTTGAATCTAGGGTCGTTGGAGCTCCTGCTACATTAGTTCTGATACTACCCTTTGCTAAGCTTCCCTTTTTGACGCTATGCATCTGCGTTGACACTAATGCAAATGCTGAGCGGTTCTTTCGCTGCTCGACAACTACGTCGATGTCAATGCAAATGCAAAGAGGGAGGGGTCGAGGTTGAGATCCGTCTAACAAGTTAGTGGCAAGGAGGCCACCATCTTCATCATAACGTTTGGTGGTGGACAACGATGCCGCCCCTAGCTCACGTGCTCCAAATCCTTGACACCAACTGCTCTCCATTTGTCACCATAACTATCATCGCAGCTGGTGGAGTTCACTCTAGCACCCATCGACCGTTAGCCCTCGACACCCACAAATGTAGCCAATTTCGATGAGTTAGCCCTCGTCATGGTCGGGGGCTTTCACGACGATGAGGCCCTCACCATCAGTTATGAGGTCGAGCACGGTGGCACGCCTGGGAACCACTGGCTGTAACAAGAGATTTGACAACCAATTGACGGGCGTGTGAAATAGACTCCACCAGCTACGACGATGGTTGTGGCGACATATGGATGGGGTCGGCACTGCCATCCACCACCTTCAAGTTTGTCATCGAATATTAATATTATCTTTATATTTTTATTTTCATATTTTCATCGATAAAATTATTATCATTATGATAAATAAATTTAAAATATAAAGATTGAAACATAAAAGATAACTAACTATAATTAGCTCCACTTATGCTAACTAAGTTTCTTCCTTGCCGCGAAAGAAGTTAGTTGAATTCAAGAGATTGAGCGAGATATGCTTCCTTGAATCGTTGATGACCATTAATGTTGCTGGTTCCCAAGTCCTCCCTCGCGGCTGCTAACTGCGGGCGTAGTCAGCGACAAAGGAGGTGGTGGGATCGCCACCAACTATGCTTTTGGAGATACCAGTCGACTTGTGAATGTCGAGCTAAAAAGCTCCCGCTTTCTGATAGCAGCGGCGAGAACCAGTTGACAGGCAGCAAGTCAAATTTATCACACCCCTCAAAATATTCTATCAGCAGATGCTTATTTAAAGACAAGAAAAACACAAAAAAGATCTCGTAATATCTTTAATAAAAATATGTTTAGAACAATATATCCAATATAGCTAACGTTATATATGCCTGCGTATCCAATATTTTATTGTGCAGGATACCACTAGTGCTTGTAATCTTCTTCACAGTGTCCAATCTTCATTTGTTCTCTTAGGTGGGTGAAGGAGCTCAACCATGGCAGCAAACAAGCAGCTTCACGCTTTAGTCTTCCTCCTGTCTTACCTGGTCACAAGACCAGCTTGGTTCGGAAACGGCGCTTCCTCCGCAGCACAGGAGATCCGCAAAGGCTTCTCTGTCACCCACGACTCGTCCTACTCCGAATTCCAATCCCTGCTTGCCGATCCCACCGGCGTCTTCTCCCTCGGCTTCCTCCGGGTCGACTCATCCCAGCTCGATCTCGCCGTCATCCACCTGCCCTCCTCCTCCGCCCTCTGGCGCGCCAACCCGGCTCGTCCTCTCCTCTGGTCTGCTTCGGCTTCGCTCTCCTTCGATGGCAGCCTGGTCCTTTCCGACTCGCGAACAGGGGTGCTTTGGTCCACCGCGACGGCCGACGGCGACCGCCTTGTCCTCCTCAACTCCTCCAATCTTCAGATCCAGAAGATGGCGGGGGCCGCCGCCACGGTGCTCTGGCAAAGCTTTGACTTTCCGTCGGATACACTCGTCCAAGATCAGAACTTTACCTCCACGGCCGCTCTCTTCTCCAAAGACCAGCGCTTTTCGATGAGGTTGGGTGCGAGCTACTTCGCCCTTTACATGGACTTGGACGGAGGTTCGACGCCCGTGATGTACTGGAAGCACTCCGCTTTGGACGTCAAGGTCTTGATCGTCCCAGACGAAGGGCCGATCTATGCCCGGGTTGACGCGCACGGGTTTCTGGGGATGTACCAGAAAGAGGCGGCCCCCGTCGACGTGTTTCCCTTCGACAGCTTCAACCGGGAAATCTCCGGGCTTCGCCGCCTGACGCTGGAGTCCGATGGTAACCTCCGAGCGTACTATTGGAACGGTTCGATCTGGGTCCGCGACCTCGAAACCATCGCCCACCGCTGTGAGCTCCCCGCCGTCTGCGGAGCCTACGGGCTCTGCAACTCGGCCGATTCCCGATGCAGCTGCCTCGACAACAGCACGGAGGAGGGGTGCCTCCCGCCGGGCTCCGGCCATTTCTGCGGGGATGGAGGCTCTGAGTTCCGAATCCTAAGGCGGAACGGCGTCGACTTGGCCAATCAGGAGCTGGTGGCGTACCGAAAGGTGGCATCTTTGGAGGAGTGCGAGGGTTCCTGCGAGCAGAACTGCAGTTGCTGGGGGGCCATCTACCACAACGCGTCGGGCTTCTGCTATCCGTTGGATTACCCGATACAGACGCTGGTGGAGGGGGACATGAGGAGGGAGGGTTACTTCAAGGTGAGGGTGAGGACGAGCGGCGGCGGAGGCGGTGCGGGGAGGACAGCGAGGGTGGCGTTGTTAGTAGTGGGCAGCGTGGTCTTCGCCGGGGCGGCGTTGTTCGGGGCCTACAGTTTGTGGAGTCGGCGGAGGCAGATGAGGGCAGGCATGGACGGTTCGATGGTAGAGGGGCTGGCGCCGGGGTCCTACAAGGATCTCAACTCCGCCTCTTTTCGTTCCCTCGAGCTTTCCAACTCCTTCTCCTTGAGGAAATGAGGCGGAGGGCGACAGAAGCGAGCCATACGGGTGGGGGTAGACCGGGAGGTGAGCTGACCACATAGGTGACTGGATCTGTTTGTCGTGACGATCTGATCGGGTCGCTGTTGGGTTCTTAAAATTTGCAGCGATCCATCTTAAAATTAAATATTATTTTTTTGTATGGGTCATCATCGTCTTTGTCGTGATTCTGCTGCTGTCTTCTCCTTTCTATGTATAGTATATTACGGACAATTGCTCGCCAATGCTTTTGAACCACCAGCAGCAGCTCGACACAGGAACTTCGCTTTGACTTCGAACCGACGAATTTAATAGCAACAGCTACTTTTATGCATACTATATTACGGGCAATTGCTCGCCACTGCGTTTGAAGTTTGAACAATCGGAAGGAGAGCTTCGCTTTGACATTGGATCGACGAATTTAATAGCAACAGCTACTGTTAATCCGCCATCCCCCCCTCTCCTTCCTCCCGTGAGGTATCTGCTTTTAACATATCTTATGCAATGTCGTTGACTTAACGACATGGCTATTGGTTGGATCCACGATATTGTCATTTCCATATCCAAACTCATCTCATATTCAACCAATTTGTCTTGCTCTGCGTCACATTTTATGGGGTTTGTCTGCAAACTTTTTCTTGCAAGCAAGCAGCTGGCCAAGGCGTTCTCTCATGTGTTTAATTGCATAAATGATCTTTCAAAACAGAGATCACTTCGTATGATAAGAAAAATAAGGGGAAAAAAATTAGAGACCACAACACTCGTGTCGGCTTATCGTACGAGAGATCCTTATGTCTATTATATATCGTAGCTGTACCGACTTTGGATAGAGCCTCTTTATTAATCAGCATAAACTGATCTTATTCCGTATGTCAACATGAATGATAGTGACCTGCGTATTGTTGATCTTTGGACCACACACTATCTTCACGCTCGTTGTATAATGGTCTGCCCCACGTGCCCAAGTTTCTAAAAAGTCAGACCGGATATGGTTGACTCGTCCCCTTACAAACTAAAGCAAAAAATATTTACTTCAATCGTGATGTAATATATGATAATAATACAGTCAGTAAAAAAAAACAGATCCCGATCAATAATTTACAACAAAGATTTATCCAATCATAAAAAAAAAGACTACATCAAAAGATTTCGTTGACGACAAAGTTAGAGCGATGACCAAATTTTTTTTTTCTTTTCCGAAAATTTACTCCTTGCATTCAAACATTACACATTCAAAAGATTGCCTTTTACATGGTGGATCTTATCAAGTTTTACGTCTAGACTCTCAACACTATGAAACTATTAAAGATAACAAGAATTATTTAATGGATTCATCTAGAATAGGTCAAATAGAAACATCATCTAGAGAGCTAAATAAGAACTTTTGATCTCCAAAGTTGCAAACACTCGGCCTTCGATGCAACTCATGCAAGTAGGTTCGCTAAAATAAAATCAGGTCTTGGGAAGTGAATTAAGATGCTTCTGGACACGGTACCGTAGGCTGTAGCTCCTGATTGAGTTTGGTGCTTGTTATTGCATGAAAATGTTCTTTGATAACATAAAACCCAAGTACCACTGCTTGTAACGACGCATAAGGTGCACGCTCAACATTCGGCCACAATTTGGTCGATATCTCGGACAATCATCTCTGAAGGAAACACTACTGCAGCAATTGGCAACTGCTCCAACCCACCACATTCATCAATGATGTATCGGAGGCCTTCTATGTGGATTTTTCCGTGATGACCGCTGACCACTAGAGTTGACTTATCAGAAAGCTCCTGACATAGGCAAACATACACGGTCTATAAATTAGTTTATTGAAGTCATGAAAAATGGAGTAATGTGATCTCTAACTCGAACTAGTCATAAGAAACTGTTATAAATCAGAAAACAAAAGAAAGAAAAAGGTCATACACCATTGTGTTGCATGTTGTGCATGGGTCATTTTACTTTGTTCATAAGAGCAAAAAGAAGTTTATTTCATTAGAAAGAAGACAAAATTCAGACCAGATATTTCAGGCTCCCCACCTGATGTTTCTGACTCCATATGAAGACCATAAATTGTAGGTTTCACAAGTCAAAACAAATAAGCAAGCCTACAGACTATGTTGTTTAGAACCGCTGAAACATTTTTGCAGCTTTTGCTCGACTGCTTCAACCAACTGACCTCATAAGAACTGAAGAAAATTGAGAATTTAAGACCATGGAAATTGATCATGATCATAGCTTCCCACTAAATCTATTACTTAATAAAAGAAAATTACTCCTCAAATCACCTTCTACTAAGATATTTCTTTGAGAGAAGATGTGTCATACCGGATCAAGAACACGACAGGTTGGTAAGGTTAAGTTAATCCAACCTCCTTATGGCAAAGTAGAGTATGATGTTTTGCCATGGATCTGAATGACTAGAATTTCACAGATATCTTCATCGATTGGGCATAGAACAATGCACATCGCTAGGCCAGATCAACATCATTGATAGGATGGACAAAGATTGTGATATATCTGATGATTAGATGAGAAGATAGAAGATCATTCCAAATAGATGGAGGCACTATAGTAAAGGGTGGACAAAGGTTGTGGTAAGTTTGATGATAGATGAGGCAAGAGAAGATCATTTCAGATAGATGGAGGCACTATAGTAAAGGGTAGCCCCAAAAGAGTATTCGAGGGCATTGTCGCAGCACAATGAAGCCTAAAAGAATTGTTCAGAAGTGCCATTGTAGCGATCGATTGTCCCTGTAAACTCCAAAGATGGATAATTCCCCTGAAAAGCCCAACAACTCATACGAGATAAAAAGAAATTCAAAATGAGAGTATGCTACAGCTGCCAACAACATTGGAAGCCTTGCTGAAATTCAAAGAATGACAATGTCTATTGAAGAGCTGAAATAAGATTGTTTTTGCCACTACCACCTGCGGGCAAAATTGACAGTTGTATATTCTATGACCCCATCATATTGTAGAAGATATCTTTGCTACTGTGAGTTACATCAGTTTATTATGAAAGCTTGTCTCTTTATACCAAACGATTGGATATGACCCTCCAATTAGGTTTTCTCCAATTCAAGGACAGGAAGCCCCCCGATAAGGTAAAAGGAAAGAAACAGATATTTTTTACTAAAATATCACTAAATTAATGCGCAAATGTTATAAAGTCTCCAAGTGAAGCATCCCGTGATCATCGTCTTTCATACATGTAAGGGTTGGAACATTCCAAAAAAGCCTATGTATAATAAGAGACACTTAGATCTCTTAAATTATGATTCAGGTAGGTAGATAACTTGTATAACTTATGCTAGTATAACCATATTAAGAAACATATGAACAGTTGAAAGTATGGTATATGCTAGAACAAGTTACTCCAACTGTACTTTTTTGTGGGCTTTTTGATAGAATAAATGACTAATCTAAAGCCAAGCAAGCCCTGCTATGCCTGGGCCCAATGGAAAACATTCATGGTTGGGATGAAAATGTATGGTAATTTTTATGAGTCTTCCCACTGGCTAGCCAATCAGAGTAGGATGAGTAGATTAGTTGTGTTTGGAAGGATCCTATTTTCTTAAGATTTCAAGCGTATTGCAAGTTATTTCATCTTGTTTGTATGCTGATCAAATAAGTTTGATAGAATTATCTTTTTATTCAGAAAGATCAAATCAAAGTTCTATTTTAAATTAAATGCTTAGATGAATCAGTTGATTAGTCAAGCGTGAAGATGAAAGTCATGATAAATAGTACTCTAATGAACATGCTTGCAAGTTCCAAACGTATTTTAGATTCAAAAAATGTCCTCCCAGATTCATACCAAGTTAGTTCATCAAAACTAAACAGCGAACGAAGTGAGCGACAAAACAACTGAATAGCTAGTGTTACCTTTGGCATTTCCCACACATCATGCCGCCCGCTAAGTTGTTCCACCTTTGGTAAAATTGTGTTCCTAGCTTTCAAAAGTTTTAGCTGTTCCTCCACGCCCTTTGATTTCTCTAATCCAGCATGAACGGCAATCAATTTGCAGGAAGTCCTTCCTTTAGGACTGTCAATCAGTACATTATCCTAAAAACCACCAATACAAGACCAGAATTAATCACTTCATTTCAGAAATAATCTATTTTAAAAAAAATTAAAGTAACCAATAAGTCATGATACCTCCTCATGAACCCAAACCAAGTCACAAAGAAACTTCTTGTGGGTATCAGGGACTGCTTTGGCCAAATCTGTGAAACCAGTATATGCAAAAGGCTCAGAGGATCAACATTATTCACCATCTATTAGAAGAAACCCTATGAAACAACTTACAACCACACGATCAACAGTAGTAGCATGACAACAGAACCCACAGAACTAAAAAGCTTCCACAACATGAGATTGAAGATCGTAACTTCCTTTCTTTCCATGGATGATAAAAAACGTTGACAGAACAAAGTAAGTTATACTGACTAACAATTTCGTTGACAACAATTTTGCTAATTGCAGCTCAAAAACTGAGGATAGAAACAAAAAAGGCATGGAAAGAACCAATTCACATCATTTCAAGCTTAATTAGGACATTTCAAAGATCGCCGAGCCGAGAAATGGAGATCACACTCTTTCTCGTAAAATCAAGAAAAAAATCAAAGCTAGATCGGGACAAGGGATCGATTGGCTTACCCGCAGAGCCATGGGGAACGCCATAGGACTCGAAGGTTGGCCCAGCATCATAGATGGAACCCTTATAGGCCATTCCCTTCTTGGGGTTAAACCGGCCGCCTATGTCACCGCCCCATCGCCTTCCTTGCACGTGCATGGCCTCGTAGCCCTCTCCCTTGAACCAGCCTTCCCGCTCCTCGTTCAGTGCGTACTCCGCCCAGGTGGCTGAGAAGGGCAAGCCGTCGGGTGGCGGCGGGAGGGCACCGACGAAGGCGGCGAAGGCGAGGTCGTGGTTGCCGCAGAGGAAGACGTGGCGCTGCCGCGGGTATTGGGAAGGGAGGGCGATGAGGAAGTCGATGACCTCGCGGGTGTGGGGGCCGCGGTCACAGTAATCGCCGAGGAAGATGACGAGGGCAGTGGCGAAGGAATCGAAGCCTACGACGGCCTCGAGGTTGGACCAGAGGGAACGCAGCTTGGAGATGTAGCCGTGGATGTCCCCGATGCAGAGCACCGCCCGGTCGGCTGCGGTGGCTTCGCCCATCTCAGCCATCTGATTACGCAACTGGAAAATTTTGGATACCTTAACGCCCTTTTGTAGTATCCGTAATCCTCTGATGGACGTGGGAAGGGTCGACGAGGCGGTCGCGAGAACACCACTTGCCTGGCCTGGGAAGACGCACCCACCTTGATGATTTCTGTGGCTTCTTTATTTCCGAATTAGACGGCTTCATCCACTCTTTCCAACTGACAATTGGCAAACCTAATTCTTTTCTCTTTAAATCAGAATAAAATATGCTACAGAAGCTAATGGGGAATTTAAGCACCAATATATATATATACATATATATATATATTCCTTCAGTTATCTATTTATGTAATGATATACCGGACGCAAGGAAGTGACAAATTAGGTACTTTATGAAATGAGATCAAATTCGAAGTTCGTAATAGATAAAAGTAAATGGTACGTCAACAAATCTGGACCCAAAGTAAGTTGATGAAGCAAACACAAACAAGTATTATACGAAATATGGAGGAAACACTTTCACAAAAAGATTGTCCAATCGACACCAACATATTGCCATAATCTCATTTCCAAGAGTTCAAATGGTGCATATGCCTAAGAGAATAGATACCACGGACAAGCAATGGCTACAAGATTGCCTGCTTACTTTAATCGTCATTTTACAATTGTCTTTTCCAACCATAGCATTCAAGAATTGACGATCACTGACACATGATGGACCTCATAATGTCTAGAGAATATCCACCTATCTACAATACAAATCGAGGGCAAAGCCTCGTTGTTTCCATTAATTATGTACAATACAAATTATGCTTGGACTAGCAGGTATACGGAGTCCCAATTTGGTGCCACTGGGAACCTTACCGTACGTTTACATCCTCTTGCCTCAAACGAGTAGAGCTTCTTTCAACCTAGCAAACCACTTTGATTAAAGAAAGTCCTTCAAGCTGTTCAACTGTAGGAAGATGATTTCAGCGTGCTTTCCTCAGATATATAACCTTGTGATGACAAAAGGCTACTAACTGTATAACAACAGCAACTTAAGGCTGTGTCAGTAGAGGTGCTTCTACAGTTTCATCCCCATACTGCCCAGGCTCATGCTCAGGCAGTTTATTCGAATTTTCTGAGTGGAGCAGAGAAGCATGGCCCAATGAGATAATCTACACACAAACATAACTTAGATCAGACTGTGAGCCTACAGTTCTTGTGCATTTGTGAAGTTCATGTTTGTGCATATGCACGCAAAAAAGTGAAATAGCATACCAAAGAAATCGAGGCAACCAAAATGCTAAAACCTTTGCAATCAAAAGGAGCATCGCTTGAAATGAAGAGAGCTGAATGGATCAAGTGTTGCAGAGATGAAAGAGGTTAGTCGTGAAGTGTGCAACTCTGAAATTTCAGCAAAATATGATGATAGTATGATACTTGCAAATCCCGAACATATAGTCTACTTACATGTTAGTGGACTCATTACAACAGGTGATAACAAGCTTGCAACAGATTGCACAGCTGCAATAAGTCCTTGTGCCTTTCCCTGTAACATGAACAACATTCTACACTCAACCATGGACAACAAAATTCCTGTTCCCTTGGACTCCCAGTCAAATATACAGCTCAATTACTCAAAAGTAGATTGGCAGTGTTTCATTCAGTATTAAATTGTCTTTCAGCCATGGTCTAAACTATTTAAAATTAAAAAAAGGAATATCAGAGTTATACTGTGAAAAAAGTAAAAATTAATTTTGTTAATTTCACGTTTTCCTTTTCCATGCAAGCCATTGATACACACACACACACGCGCATTTAATAGGCATAAGAACTGTACAAACTTGAGATTATTTCCATAAACTGTATCGGTCCCTATGTAGGACTGGTACATACCAGTCAATACCAATGTTCAAACACAGGGTACATTGGTACATACCAGTGTTTCAAAGTCAAAGAAGAAGAAGAAGAGGAAGGAACAGATGGGTGGAGGAAGAAGACGATGAAGGAAGAAGAGGAGGTGGAAGAAGAGGAGATGGTGGAGGACAAAGAGGAAGGAGGTAGAAAGAAGAAGAGGAAGCGTGCACAAAGACTAGGAAGGGTACTCGTGGTTGCTATGGTGGGGAGATAGGTGGCGGCTAATGGCAGCAGCAGGGAGGTATGCGGTATCAGGTGGTTGTGGCAATTTTGCGCTCCCCACACACAATGAAGAGGGTTCGTGTTCGTGAGCCTAATTGACAGAAAACTGCTTTTTATTTTTATTTTTTTACTTTTTTAGTGGGTTGGACTGGACTGTCCGATACAAGGGCAGTCCACGTACTGGTTCTCAGCCAGACCCTATCCGGGTCATACATCATTCCTTGCATGCACCTATTTTAAATGTAGGGAACTCCATGACACAAAAATTCTAATACCCGACAATGAAACCTGTTGATGCAGGATCCATTGGAGGTCAGCCTGCTGCGCAAAGTTTGGACTGAAATTCTGGGCTGATGTGAATTTGGATCAGGTTAAATTCTCACACAGAATTTAAGTGGTAACAAAAATTCATAAAAAAAAATTCACAACTCAATTCTAGATATCAGTTAGCCTCACTTAGACCCAACAACATAAACTCACCCTACATCACCAGCCAATATGATTATTGCAAAGTGGCCTTCATTTCTTTGGATATGGTACTTGTCCTTCGACAAGAACTCAGTTAAGCAATTAATAATCAGCTAGCACTATGCTCATGTAAAATCATCTATCAGCATATAAATTTTATTGTCTAAAATGTTTAAATCAATTTTTGACTGATATTTGAAGGCAGTAGATATTTATATTTTCTAGATTATTCAGAATTTATTCTCAAATAGCAATGATATTACAAAATACCTGATCACTTGAAATAACTGCCTTCGAAATGATAGCACAAGTCTGTGAATGAAGAATCTCAGTTTAGCATTGGTAAGGAACAAAACTCGATGAAAACTAACAACTTTTTAGATGCTATTTAATAGTATAAATTTTAAAAGTGCTCTTATTGAATGTAAAACTATAACCATCTAGGTATATTTAAAATTTCAGACTCAGCCAAATTATAACAACAAATTTCCTCAAACGGAGAAAATGCTTACAGATGGTTTAACAAGGACATAGATGACTCCAAATGATGCACTGAGATACGGAACCTGTAGAAGTTATGTAATTAAAGCTAGAAATATCTTAAACAACATGCAGTTCACATTGTCTTTTAAATAATTTTATCGACTTAAATGTAATCCAAATAGAGGATGTATTGTGGAGAAAAACATTACCCAAGGTGCCCATGCCAAGCCATAAAGCACACCCTGCACAGAGAAAGATGGGTTAGGAATACATAAACTTAAAAGAAGTTTGCTAATTCACACCAATAACAATATCTCTAAGAAGATCAAGACTAACATAAGCAATTGAAGCAATCAAAGCGATACAAAGAACACCCTTTTCTCCCATAAGAGAATTAATATGTGGAAGAACCAAGATCTACAAAAAGAGAAAAGAAAAGAAATCAGCCACTTCAGACATCAAGCACAATAGATAATATTGATAAATTTATGTGTCATCAAACTACATTCAGTTGCATTAGTATCTCACTAAGTATAAATTGCTTGTCATGAACTTAAAACTTACCACAAAAACCTCTTCTTTCCACTTGAAAATATCCATCAATTAAACATAACCTTGATGCATATTATACAAAAAGGTTCATTGATCATGTCCAAATAGCCATACATTTATGCAGCTTACACAGTGATGGTCTGTTAAATTAATTGTCAACAATTATTTTGTTACTTTAGAAGTATGTGTGATAGTTGTAAAATGCAAGTTAAAGGAATTTATAATGTGCTTACCAACTGCTCAGAAAGGATCTCCAGTTAATGCATATAGCAAGAAACAATGAAAAATGATCAGATGCAAGTGGAAAAAGGTGAATTTTAAACCTGGTCTAGCTGAATAGTGCTGAAGTGGAAATAAATTATGAAATTGAAATATCTATCAAATTATATTTTGGAATCTATATCTGTATGCCTTATCATCACAGCCCTCTAGTTTAAAGTTTAAACAGCTCAAAAGTTGGGTCAACTACGAAAGATGTTTACAGGTCCAGAAAATATCTACTCAAGCAATAGATTTTACGATGATGGTGTGGCAGCTATTATGGTTACTGGCAAATTTTAATAATGATTATAATAAATTGTTAGCCTAGCTCACTTGTATGAATGTCCTACAGTCCTAGATTTTCATTCACTGTCTGGTACTAACCCAATTACTTGAAGTATGATGACGACGCCACTACATGCAATTTCCAGAATGAAAAGATTTTTTGTATATACAAATGTTATATTTGATGCTTGAGGAACAAACAAGGGATACAAACAGGAAAGCAAGATTAAGAATGGCATGGTACATAAAAGCCATTGCAGCACCTGAGAAAATATAGACCCGAAGCTGACCATCAGTAGAATTTCTGAGAACTGGTTTTTGTTGAAGCCAAAGGCTGACTTAAGATAGTACTGTACAAAAAACATACATAAGTGTCCACTCATTTGTATGCCCTAGCAGCTTAAACATGAGAATAGCTAACAAAAAAAATATAATATTAAGAAGCAAACATAAGTAAACATTAACAAAAACCTAAACAAGAAAATATTACTAGAGAAGAATAATGAAAGAATTATACCAGCAAGATACTGCTGATGCCAGACATCCCCAATTCGTAGTAGAAGGAAATGAATGAAATTCGCTTAAGAGTGGTACTACAATTATAAGAAGTCTAGGTTAGTGGAAAAGAACAATAATCATTTTCCATTAATGAACCACAAGCAGAGTTTGAATTTAAGCTGGTGGACATACTATATATGTTGGCAGAGACACCAACTAAATAATATATTGCAAATTGACAGAAGAACAATCAGTTCCTCTAAAATGATCCTAAGAATTTAAATAATAGATAGACACTCTAACAGATGTATTGTAGAGTGAATGTTATGAAAATTGACAAAGCACACCCCAAACAGTAGGTAAAAAGATCAACATAATACCTACTACTGAAAACAAAAATAGTATCTTTCATAGAGTTCCAACGGTCCTGCAAGACCTCGAGCACAATGAATGAACATGATCTGTTTTCACTTTGTCTTGGAGCTACCTTGACCGTCTCGATCAGAAAAATTTTCATGTATAGCGTGGCACAAACCAACAAAA